TGACATATTCGTAGAGTTGTGACTTTTCCAATAAGTTATGACCTCTCCAAATAATTGTGACTTTATGATAAGACACAATAAACACATGTTTTTACTATCCTTTATTGGTTATAAATAGAGGAGTTCTCTTAATTTTTTTCTTAATCGAAGAACTATTCAGAAAAGTACAACTACTCAATGTGAAAAGGTGTTTGCTTTTTATAAAATATTATAAGAATAAATAAATAATTTAATATAGTAAAAAATATATTAAATTAGGTGTTTTCAGTTTGTGAGTTTTATAGTAATTTAATATTCAAGTTATAGTAGATAGATATAGATAGAGAGATATAGAAGATAGACAAATATTTTGATATTAAATTTGGAAGGTAATATGAGACTATAATTTTAATTTTTTTTAATAAAGTTTGCTTTTATATAATTATTTCCCAACTAGGATTGAAACTAACTTATTGAATCTGACATAGATCTACTTGTTGTTAATAGATCAATAATTGCATTGTTTTGATAGATAACTCTTATATAAAATTCATTAATATCTGAGCTCATTAATTTATCCCGCAACGATTGGTCTCAACTAATGAGAAAAAATTAATAATAAATAAGAAAAATCATTCATTCTGACTCTATATTTGTTCGAATAAAATGCTTACTTAATTTCATGTATCTAATCAAAAAGTCAATTCTTATTCACACATTGATGTGTAGTTTATATGACAAGAGCAATATTATGATATTTTAGTAATATTCAATTACATTTATAATTATATTATAGATAAGAATTTCTCGTTGTGATACTTTGATATATTATATGTGTCTTGAGTACATTATTCAAAAGTATTCGTTACTTTCTAAAAATTTATATCTTGTGAAATTATAACATGTAAAATAAATGATAGATAACATGACATTCAAGAAATTAGGAAAAGAAAAACAAGAGAATTTAAATATTCTTATTTTATTTCGAATATAACTATAAAATTCATTGGATCTCCCCTCAAAACATCATAAGATTTAAAGAAATAAGATCCTAATTAATTAACTTAACTTTAAAATTATGGGAATTAGTATCCCAATAGAGTTCAACATGATTCAAAAGTTTTTATTACTTTCTTAAACTTCATGTCTTGTTAAATTAAAGGAAAAATTAGTAAACTAGACAAAAATAATAACATATTTAGTAAAAATATTCATACTTTATAAATATTAGTAATAATGTCAAAAATGTCATTATTTTAAAAAATTTATGTTTCCAAATTTTTTCCTATTTTATCTCCCTTTTTTTCAATTAATTATATTTATCCTTTTTTTAAAAAAAAAATCTCTATTATATTTATCTTTTCTGATTTTCCTCCAATATTCAACTTATCAATTTTTCTCTTCCATATATTTTGGTTGTTTTTTTTTACTAAAAAATTGGATCATCAAGAATCCTTTGATTAAGGTATCCTTAATTTTTATCCTATTTTCAGATTTCTTTTCTGATTTTGTTTTTGTTTAAATCTTAAAAAATTGTTGTTTGTATTTTTCAAAATCCGTGAGGGTTTACTCTCCAATGGTTGAATCCAAGAGGCTTACTAGGGTATTCATCTTAATCAACCAAATTGTAGTGATTTTTCATCCTTCAGTTTATTTATTACTCAAGAAATAGCAATAGCGGATAATGTAGGATTCACTGCTAAAATGAGGGAAGAAGAGGGTCAGAACATTTACAAGACTCAATTGGTGTGCAAAACCTTCCTCAAATTCCATAACGCAAATGTAGAATCTTCATCTACTCATTGGAATCTTGAAAAAAGACGACGAAGATCGAATAGTTGTCGAACAATTTTCTATTTGTTTCTTTTGTATTTATAGTTTTAGAATTTGGTATTCTTTTTCAATTTGTATTCAAATCACTATGTATAATATCAAGTATTCGTCAAAAATTTCATGTTGCATAGTACATGAATCTTGTATTTGTCCCTAATTTGTATTCATCCAAAGTTATGTCAACTAGTTATGTTATTTATTTATAGGAAGAACAACTTTCTATTAGTTTATTTGTATTTTGTATTCGAATACAAATACAAATTATATATATTTGGGAATGAATACGACTTAGAAAAAGAAACAAGATTCTAAAGAGAAAAATAAATACATAGTGAAAAAATATACGAATACAAATGTATTTCTTAAATAGCTATATATTTATTTGACATACATATTGAAATGAATACAAACTGATAAAATACAAGTTTCATTATATAAAGCACAACATGAAAACTAGAATGAATACAAATGCAAATGGAATACATTTTGGAATAAATACGATTTAACTAAGGACACAAAATTCTGGAAATAAAACAAATAAATTGTGACAAAAATATGTCAAATAACATGTAAAACTATAGATATTCAAATTTCTAAATTAAAAAAAAAATTAAATTTAATAGATAATTCTATATTGTATTACCATAAAGTTTTATAATAATAATTAGTGAAAAATGAATATAAAATTTTTTGATTATATGATTTCATAACAATATTTAGTGAAAAATAATATTGAGATTTTATAAATACAGTAAAACCTCTATAAATTAATATTCGGTAAATTAATAATCTCTCTAATGAAATTATTATAGGAATATTTGATCATAAATGTTTATTCTTAATTTTATTGGTCATGAATGGATGCATTTTAATGGTTGTTCTCTTCATTTTCAAAGGATAGCTCCTCTGGAACAGGTTTACTCTCTCTACTACAACTAAATACAACTAAGCTTAAATCATGTTTGACAGATTTGTAGAATACCATTTTTCCTTATTATGTGGGGAAGGTCAATGTTGCTCGTTTTCTAATTCAATGATACAACGTACACTTTCATAAGATATGTTTTGATATATTATACGCCATTCAAAAGTTTTCATTACTTTCTTATAATTTATATCTTGTTAAATTATAACACATAAAATAAACGATCGAGTAACATAACATTCAAAGAATTAGGAAAATACAAACAATAGAATTTAAATTTTCTTATTTTATTTCGAATATAACTATAGAATTCATTGGATCTCCCCTCAAAACATCATAAGATTTAAAGAAATAAGATCCTAATTAATTAGCTTAAATTTAAAGTTGTGGGAATTAGTATCCCAATAGAGTTCAATCTTATCACCGCAGATTAATCGACCTTTTTCGAATAAATCCTCACAAACTATTGCATAGTCCTTACATGGCTTCATCTTCACCACATAAGCTCCTGCATTATTAACAGGATTGTTCTCTTCAGTTACGTCCAATAATTCAAAACAATGTCTGTTCCCTTTATCTACAAGATGGACCATTTCCTCCATCCAATGTGGAAAAACATGTGCAATAGCGAATACAAATGGAAGCACTAATAAGTTGTTTTGTTGTTCAAACTGGGTGATAGTCTTCCTAATCTTTTGGGGACCTTGAACAGGGGCAGAGTGGGTGGTCGTATTCATAATAGTAATTATAGAGAAAATTTACAATGTTGAGGGAAAAAAGGTAGAAATTTATAGTAATTATTTACCATTAAATTTGGAAGGTAAATCACACTATAATTATTTTTTCTAATAAAGATTGGTTTCATATATTTGAGATTAGATACTGTGATTACTAATGCATTAATTTTTTTCTAGTCATAGTCCTTCTAGAACTTGCTTTGACGGATCTTTTATACAAGTATGTTATTTTAATATAATTACAAGTAATTTTATTTATAATTTTTTAATAAATAATAAAAATTTAGATATAATAAATCAAATTACATTAATTATTAATTATATTTGAAGTGTATGACGTATACAAATAGGTAATTCTCTTAGTGTACCTTTTATTAATAATTGGAAAATAATTTAAATATACCATCAAATTATTGAAAATGACTCACCTATGTCATCCGTCTAGAGTATGGCACATTTAGGTCATCGTTTTTAGAAAACATGTTCATTTATATCATTATTTTTTATAGTGATTTTGTAGAAACAGTTTTGCCACATGGCCTCTCGTTAGAGGTCTACAAAAAAATTGACCAGTAAAAAAATAACTTACCAACACTCGATTATTTATTCAATTTGGACTGAAACTAACTCATTGAACCTGACATAGATCTACTTATTGCTAATGGATCTATAGAGGTATTATGATAGAGAACTCTTGTATAGAGTTCATAAATAACTGAGCTCATTATTTCATCCTACATCCATCTAAATGATCGATTTCAATTCAGGAGGAAGAACGAGTGATAAAGACAAAATCATCCATGAACTATTTTGAAGCATTAATCAACACCATCTTATTTCTAAAAGAAGAAATCCGTTTGTGTTTGACACCTCATACGTCGAAGTGTTCAAAGTATCTACTAAGGGTTTCAAAATACAGATAGGACAAACAAAACAAGCAACATGTTGTTCCACAGGCATGTTTGTCAATTCTAGATGTGCAACTTATAACCGTTCAAACTAGGTTGACGTTACTCTCTAACCAAAAGGGAATCAAAAGATTGAGAACAAATATTATTCTCTCTAGAATATGATCAAAAACATTGCTTCATGATAGCGTTCATCTTATTAGCATAAACCAAAGTGTCAACTACTCTCATGGTATTTTAATGCTTGCAAGGGTTGTAATATGATTGTAACTCATCATCGAAATTATTTTGATGAATTAATTTAAATAATGACTTATTCGATTAAAAATTTTCATTTCTGATAAAGCTAAGTGTGTGAATCAATTGAATAACTTCAATAGGTTTTAGGTTTGGTGTATTAAATAATTTTTAATTATTGATGCTTGTACTATATTTGGTGTATCTAGAAGGCATGCAAGTCACTTAAAATGTAATTACATGTTATTCTACATAACTTGTAATAAATGAAATTAATCGGTTATAATAAATTAAATCAAGCTCGAACTTGCCAAATACGTCAATTTAATTAGTGGGATTGCAAATGTTATGGAGGATGTGAGGTTGCTTAGGCAATATAGATAATCATTGAATCAATATTTTATTACACTGATAGCTCTCAAAGCTTATGTAGAACAATGAACTGTAAGGCCATATCAATGTCAAATATCTCGTTGAAATTAGAGCTTATGTATTAGTTGTTGTATTGAACACTGAGTTTTGTGTCACAGCTCACTTCAAATCATAAGGTTGTGAGTTCGAGTCACCAGAAGAATAACAGATAGAAGCTCCTAGGGAGAAGTTAAAAAACAAACAAACAAAAGGTGGCACAGATTAGCTCATTCCATTCATCGGGGACTCCGGGTAGACACCAATGGCCACAATCTTGCTTTGCCCTTCTACCGATCTTCTCATACACTGATGGGTGGTCATCCTTTCGGAAATTTATTGACTGTGTTATATTTAAAAGGACTACTGGCAGCTGCCTTTCCGTAACACCTCCTCCACAATCTTCATTTTCAAAGGATAGCTCCTCTCAAAACAGGTTTACTCTCTTTACTACAACTTCCACCTGAATCCCGATCTCTGCCTCTGTGTAAATACAAGTAAACTTAAACCTCGTTTGACAGAGTTGTAGAATACCATTTTTCCTTATTAGAATGAATATGGAATGTGGGGAAGGCTGAATGAGCAATGTTGCTCGTTTCCTTCAATGATACAACATACACTTTCATAAGATAAGAAGTCTCGTGTTAGTATTTTCATATATAAGTCGGAGATTACCTCTTCGAGCTCTGGCAGCATTTCCTTCTTAGACAGCTTCGGAAAGCCCTTCACAAATTCTTTCTTTCCTTAGTTGTGTCACTTAAAATATACCATCACCAATAGTCTCTGCAGGAACATGTTCCGTTCTCAAACTTATGGAACCTATTGGCATCTCTAACAAGAAATATTTTCTTCAAAATCTTTGACAAACCCTTGATGTACTCATGACAATCTCCACAAACTCTCAAATTCTTGAAAACACGAATTGGCTTCCCCTCAATTTCATCGCTACCAGAAAGAAGTGCCAAACCAATTGCCAATTTCTCGCTGTGAAATCTCAGGCTCTCATCCCGTGTTTCATCTTCAACATCGTGTAATGAAAAGCTTACTTCCCGTGTGTAACCGAGTTCATATTTCATTTTCTTCTCCATCTTATATAAAAATTCATGGATAGCTTTAGTAAGTGGGTGTGTCTCATCTCTGTTGTAGAAAAAGTGCATCTTCTTGTCGATCTCCACCCAACTTTGTCCTGCTTCTTTTCTTAAACCTTTCGTTTTCACCAGTCCTCTTAATCCCTCACATTCTTCCCATAGGCGGGCATCAGCAAAGATGTTTGACATCATAACATAATTCACCGGATTATTGCCATCTAATTTTAAGAGAATCTCTCCAACTTCTCTTCCTATTTCTACATTCTTGTGTACTCTACATGCACCAAGCAGTGTCTGCCAAATACCAACATTTGGTTTTACCGGCATGTTCTCTATCACAACCTTAGCTTCTCTTAGGCGTCCAGCTCGACCTAAGATATCAACCATGCAAGCATAATGCTCGACTGAGGGTTTTAAACAATTTGAATTGCATAGTTTTGAAAAGAATTCTTCACTTTCTTGAACTAACCCCGAATGACTACAAGCTGTGAGCAGAGCTAAGTAGGAAACCTCATCAGGCTCAATCCTATCCATGTGCATTTTCTTGAATAGTTCAACTGCTTCTCCACCGAGACCATACTTCCCATATCCGGTGATCATAACGGTCCATGAAATCACATTTTTTTCTGGCATTACATCAAAAAGTGTTTCGGCTTCCTCTATTAACCCACATTTTAGATACATATCCATGATTGAATTCAATACAGATATGTCTAACCCAGAAGGTATTTTTACTGCACAACAATGTAATTGTTTCCCAAGCTCAATTAGAGTAAAATCAGCAAAGATACCCATCATGCTTGACAGCACAAATCCATCCAATGTGATGCTACTTTCCCTGAGCTGCTTGAACAAGTTCATTGCCTCTGTTAATTTGCCTTCTTGAGCATACCCTACGGTCAGTGTCGTCCATGATATCACACTTTTCTGTTCAACTTGACTAAACACCTTATGAGCTTCAAACAAGTTTCCTGACTTGACATACAAATCAATTAGGGCGCCTGCAATAACTTTTTGGCTGGAAATAAGGAATCCCTTAGTAATAAGAAAACCATGAATTTGGCTTCCTTCACGGACCGCCTTAAAACCACTGCAAGCCTTCAATGTGCTTGCAAACGTAAACTCGTCTGGCATTTCTCCTTGTTGTTGCATTTTTTTGAACAGACACAAAGATTTATCACCAAATCCTCCCATTGCGTACCCTGCTATCATTACATTCCACGTTATGAGACTCTTTTCTGGCATTTCATGGAACTTCTTTTCAGCCTCACCAAGTTTCCCACATCTCGAGTACATATCAATAATTGAATTGCCCGCAACTGGATGCTTTTCGAACCCACTTTTAGCACACAACCCATGAATCTGTTGTCCATTTTCCAGAACACCAAGAATACCACATGCCTTTAAGTTAGTAGAAAAAGTGTATTCATTGGGTCTTACATTTGCAAAGAGCATCCGAGAGAGAAGCAACAAGGATTCTTGAGCATTAGAGTGATGTAAATATCCACACATTAAAGCCGTCCAAGAAACCACATTTCTTTCAGGCATTTTATGAAATACTGAGCGAGCCAGTTCCACTCTACTGCACTTCCCGTACATATCAATGAGATCATTGCCTATCATCAAATCAAATGCATAACCCATCCTTAATACAGCTCCATGAACTTGCTTTCCCACATCTAAAGACAAAATCTTCGAACAATTTCTCAGTAGTTCGGCCAACCTTTGCCTCTCATTCATTACAAAAGTTGTACCTTGCTGCATCTTCTTATCAGATAGCTATAACTCTCTTGTGGAACTCAAAGAAGTTGTCCAAATATTTGTAATCTCATTTGAAACTCTGGAGAAGTGTTGTTAAATGAGAATCCAGGTTCAGATATACGACTGTTCCAATTTTTCTCCCCAAGGGTGATTTGGGTTATATTATGTAACAGGAGAGATTCAAACTGGTTTCGGTTCACTGTACTTCCAACCAGCATCAGCCTCTTTCCTTTCAATCTCTTCGAAAAATCTGATGCATTAAACCTACAAAAGTAGAATTCGTTTAAAGATACAAATTATTAAATAGTCCTCTGAATCAACAAATGACAGGCTATTTATCAATGAAATGAATTAAGTTTTATCATCACATGAATCAGCAGAACAAAAAAAACTACAAATATTACAGAATACTGTTGATACTACCATACCATCTATTAACATGTGCAATCAATTTATGAAACTAATATCTGATTCACTACAAAATGTTATAAAGTCAGTAAAAATATTTAATTTATTGAGTTGATCATGTATCATATTGTGTATTAAACATATGTACTATCCAATCCTTAAACATAGAGAGAGTGTGTGAGTCTGTGAGATGATCAAAAATCTATCATGTTTATGTTCCGCGTCACCCCGGGGCGATCATTACCACTTGAAGTTTCAGTTAACCAGAAACATCTCAATGATAGACATTTTCAATTAGAAAGTGCAATGCCACACATCTTGAATCAACATGACAGTGAAAATATCATTCACAAAGCTTAAAGAATTCACTTAGACACTTAAACAAACACCTTACATACAACCATTTTGAATACAATGAAATATCTTCTACAAAGGTAAAGAATTCATTCAGACATTTAAACAAACACCTTACGAGCAACCATTTTTCCATATTGCTTTAACAATATTGGGAAGTTTCGATTCCAACCCCACCCACCCGCCAATGAAAAATTATTTATACCTTAAAATTTATTTGACAGTTCGATACACAAAGCATTTCGTATTTAAGATAGGTTGTGGACTGCACATCAAAGGTCTTAAATATAATTTCACAAATTTTATTTGAATTACAAGTTATAAGTATGTGAGTAGAAAACATTTTTCACTTGAAAAAAAATAAAATTGATTTTTCAAACCTGAAATTTATTTTTTAAAAATATTTTGAAATGCTAAAGTACATTTTTATATGTTTATGAGTGAAATAAAAATCTTTTTGCGCTATTTAAAAAGTTGCAAAATTCATTTTTTTGTCTATTATTTTTAAGAATGTCACGCTATTAACAAAAAAAAATATTATCAAGTCAGAAGAACATATAATTAAACTAGTTTAGGGTGATTTTTTAAAAATTAGGGAGACTAAATATATTCAAATTATAAATATTCTTTGTAAAAAGTATTGCTAAATACAAATTCAACTTTAAAATTTTCGAATAAAGTAATTTTTATTTTATTTTCATAGTTAAATGAAACTTTTCATAATTTTTCTAACCATCAAAACCTACTCTGTAAATAGTAAATACTTCAAGACTTATATATTGTTGTAAATCAATTTACTTTTCATAATTTTTCTAACCATCAAAATTGTATAATTCGCCGCCTAAAATTGTATAATTCGATGGCCTATTTCGCTGTAATTGTATAATTTGTTTTGCATACAGTTGAATCGAATTAAATGTATGTATATTGCATAATTATAAGTGTATAGCAAGAAGATATATGGTTTTCTCGCTTTATACAAAAACAGAAACACAATATATACACTAATGTTGTATAAAGCTAGAGAAAATTGTATTTCACTGCAATTGTATAATTCGTTGGCCTTTTTCTCTGCAATATTTCAAGTAAAATGTTTGTAAATTGTATAATTAAGTGTATAACACGGAGATATACATTTTTGCATGTGTATATACAATTTTCTCTCGCTTTATACAAAACAGAAACAGAATTATACACTTCTGTGTATAAAGCGAGAGAGGCGAGCGAGAATGGAGAGTGGCGAGCGAGATTTTTGGGAGAGAGACGCTGACCAATTTTAGCTAATGTTTGCTATGGAACACAATTAAATCAAACCCTAACTATTCCATTTAATTTGGGTTATTAGTTTGCTATTATATACAATTTTCCCTTTATTTAAATTCAAAAGGTTAAATGTCCTCTATTTCTTTTTTTTCCTTTTTTGTTATTTTGTAGTCTAATAATATTACTGTTTTATAGTCTAATATTATACTAATTTCACCATAGTTTAAAATTTGTAAATTGCATGTCCTTCACTAAGTTAATAAATATGATGCACATCCCAATCCATGAACACAAGCATTTTTAAAAAGCTTTATTAAGTTGTTTCTGTCCTAATTTAAAATATTTATTGGGAGGAGTTTTGACTATTTTATATTATTCTATCATTCAATAATTGGGGTGTTTATAATCTTCAAGAACAAATATAATTAAGGATAAAATGGAAAAAAGAACTTACATTGAATTTCTAAAATAAAAAATAATTTGATATAATTATTTTTAAAAATCACGACAGATAACTTGAGACGATAGAAATAACATATTTAAAATAATATACTATTTCAATTTTATAAAAAATAAATATAGGTTATAAATAAAGAGATCATGAGAAATTATCAGTTAAAAAGGTTTTTGACTTTATTAGTAAAAGTATCAAATATGATGACAAACATGAAATAAAGATAAAAGTGAGTTTCTCGGATAATAAGTATCATTCACTTTCAACTTTAAGATTGTTAACCGTCAATTCAAATTACCCAAAAAGGAAAAAAAATAAAAACTTCTGAAAAAAAGTTTAAAAAATCAATCAATTATTAATTGGGAAGAGTTATGAAATGAATTTTTATTGATCCTAGTAGGCTAGACTCTACCAAAATAAATAGTTGACTTTGGATAGTATTCTTATCTTCAATTAAGATCAGAATTACAATATTTCGAACTAGTGGATGTTGTATAATGTGTTATATGTTATTTATGTGCGGAGTTTAAGTACAAATTACGTATTTTGATCGAATTTAATAATTTAATTTAATTATTTTATTTTATCATAGAAAATCTATTGAAATTGTATAAAGTAATAAAAATAATAGAAGTTTCAATCATAAATTTTAAATTTCAATTTTGCATTATAATCAAGAAAAATTATGTTCTATAGTCTATACACAGAAATAAAAACAGGAGATAACGAATTCAAACTATGTAAATACTATATTTTTTCAAATACTTCATACAATTAAATCCTTGGTCACGAATTTTACTAATTTCTTTTCAAGTCTATCAAGTCTAGTCTTTCAAATTATAAAAACGAGTCGTTATAATTCTGATCAAATAGGGGTTATTCGATATGAGTATAAGAAAAATAATCTTAATATATTATTTTATATAATTCTATCAATTATTGAGAATTTTATATGTACCACCAACAATATCAAATAATTAACTCATGGACAAATACCAAAAAGTCAAAAACTATCTTTATTATTTTCTTAGTAACTAACAAAGTATAATTATGAATTCATTACTTTTTAGTTTAATAAATAAAAAATATTATAATTAATATATTTTATATCCAATTTCATAAACTAATCTCTACCACCCTTAATTAAATATCCACCTTAAATAATCTCATTTCTTAAATATTACGTAAAAAGATTGATGAAGCCACGATGTACCATGTTACTACCATCATCATAACAACTTGACAAGTCACCAACATCGGTTGTGCAAAAGATGGCGAGTCTCGAGTTTCGAGTCTGCTTTATATTTAATAAAAATTTTAAGTTAGAGTATTGAGATATAGATAAAATTATATCAGAAACATTATTTTTAAATAGATTTTATAATATATATTTTAATTTAATCGAAATTTTAATACGAATTTCATATTCCGAGAAAAACCAACTTGAGAAGTCAAGCAAAAGAATAAATTAACCCAAATTCAAAAGAAAAATATCTATCTTTAACCAAAAAAAAATCTCTATTATCTTTGTGGATCCTCTAACTAATTTTGTTATTTTTCAAAAAAAATCATATATTATTGAAAAACTTTTTTCAATTCTATTTTATGGACCACTTTAATTTGCGTATCAACCATATCTTTCTATCTATGTATTATAATAGGCATAACTTGTCCTTTTCCTCTATTTCTTTTTATATTAGTGTTTAATTAATTTAAATTTATATTACGCAGTATTATTTGGGAAAAAAATATTTTTTCTCAAAAGAAGTTTATATTTAAAATCTATAATTAAAAAAATGAATTTATTCATAAATCATATTCTTTGTTTCTCCTTTTTTTTTAAAATTTGTATAAAAATACATCTTTTTTTATTTTTGACAATTTTATAATTCAATTTTTTACCTAATATGTTTAATATTATAATACCTAATATGTTTAATTTTATAATCATATTCTATATCTTTAATCATATTCCTAATATGTTTAATCTTATAATCATATTCTATTTTTTTAAATTATTTTCTTAAATTTCATATCAAACAAAAATAATACGAAAGAGGTGGAGTGAATAACAACATTCTTATCTTGAAAAATCACTTCATTTATTTTTTTAATCATCTAGTGGCTATGCAATTAATGGCAAATTGTTCAATTTGGCCATTGTTAAGTCAAAAAATTTAATAAATGAGGTAGATGTGGAATTATAACCACATTTATGAGAAAAAATAGATGAAAGTTGACAAGTAAAAAAAATATATTTGTTTGACAGAGCTAATCTCTTTACAAGAAAAGAGCCAAAAACTATTTGTACAAAATGCAATAGACTATTAAATCCAAGTAGTTATCACTAAAAAAAAGTAAATATAAATTACTTGTTAAGATATATTTTTCCATCTTAATTTATATGATTTTATTATAAAAAAAAATGAGAATATATAAAATTAGGCTCTATGGAATAATAAAATAAAATAACAGAGGTAACATTTTTCCATTTTATTCAAACTAAAAAAACTAAATTAGTATTCCATCCATCCATCCATCTGAATTTATGTGCCACTTATATCTATTATAAATTATTCATTTTCCATAAATTAGGAGTAACATTATAAAATAAATATTTCTTTTACTCATATTAACATGAAAAAAATTGTATTTCATAATTATTTTTCGTATTCTTTCACAATATATAAATTTTATTTTTAAAATATTGAATCAATACAATACAATCAAGCTTTAAAAATTAACAGAATCAATTATTCAATAAGCAAGAAAAATCACGTAAATCGAGATAGATGAAACAATACTCTCCATTTGTTTCGATTTATTTATCATACACTAATTACACACAAAATTTAAAAAATAAAATAAAACAAAATTAAACAATGTAAATATATCAAATTTTTGTCTAATTTAATTGTCTTAAAACATGTCATATAAAACATTAAAACTAAACAATTTATTAAAAAGATTACAAAGATAAGTTGTCATTCAAAATTGACTAAAATAATAAATAAGACAAATAAATTAAAACAGAATGAGATATTTGTATTAAATGATTTTTCTATTGTAAAGTACTTACTATTCAAGTCAATCAAAGTGAAAAAAAAAAAGAAAGAGGGGAATGTACATAATATTAATAAGAAAATTTTTAACAAAATTTCTCTGTTTTTGATTCAGAGTTTTATTATTATTATTATTATTTTCAAGAAATTGAAGATGGCAGGAGGAGGAATTGGTTCAACTGGTGTAAACAAAGGAAGAGCTGAAAATTACAATGGAAAACTCACTCTTTATGTCATCATAGCATGTATTGTTGCTGCTGTTGGAGGTTCACTCTTTGGATATGATATTGGAATTTCAGGTGAATAATTATGGTAATTATTGGGGAAAAAATTATTGTAATTTTACTTTATGAATTGATGATGAAATATTAGAATTTTTTCCCCCTTTTTATAGAGAATTGGAAGAAAGATGAATTACTAATATGCTTGTTCAGATTTTTTTAAAATGTTAATGTATTAAAATTTTCATGTTTTTACATGTTTTAAGGATCTGACACGAGTGTAACAACGAGTTTAATTCACTCCCCTTTTAAAAAGAGCTTTTCCTTTTCTTTTTATGCTATGTGGTAGGTGATTAGGAGGGGTGGGGGGTGGGGGGTTAGAATTGGAAGAAGATGAATTATTGTTATGTTGTTCGGATTTTTCAAAAATGTCAATCATGCTCGGGTTCTAATGGATTTGTGGCACGAGGTGGTAGTATTTTTGAAAAATCGGAACAATGTGTTACATTGCAGTACTGCTTCTCCAGAAAAAGGGACTCACTCTTTGTGCTCGGATTTTTCAAGAATATCAATCATTTTTATGAACATTTTTGGTAAATTGGAGTCAATGAATTATACCTACTCTTCTGGAACTTCCACTATTTTCGAAAAAAAAAGGTGAAATAACAAAGATTAAAAAGTGGATAGTGAAATAACAAATGCACGGTAAGACTGTGAACAGTAGAGCGTTGTGGTTTGGCTTTCCTCGGACTCTGCGAATAGTGGAAGTTTAATGCACCGTGATGAGATTTTATAGTGTTTGTAGATTCTCAACTTGTAGAGTGAAAAGACTATATCATTATTTTGTTTAGTTGTATGATCATTTTCAGCGTGATCGTTGACTGTGTGACCATCTCATTTAAAATCTTTGAGATTCAATCTACGAGCGTATGCCTGTTTTCATATCATGTTGAATTGTTGTGTGACTGTTTTGTCTTAAGAGTTTAGGAATGCCACTTTAATCATGTCAAATCCTTTAAAAAGTACATACTTTTGATGGATTCGACACGAGTGAAGTTGTATTTTGGAAAATTCTAGCATGAATTACACCTGAACCTCCGGCAGACCGGGATGGATGGCTATGACTACTCTACAGTTAGTCTCTGGAACTTCTTGAACAACGAACTGCGTCATTGACATTGAAATGTTCGACTAGCTAAGGGATTCAAATGAATTAAGGACATCTGTGGTCTGTGGTCTGTTTGCTTTGATACAATGTTGAAGTTAATGTGTGACCGTCTAATCTTAAAATCTAAATTGTTAAGAGAGGGTAAACTTTTGTTTACTAAACTATATCTTTACTGCATGCATGATAACAGGGGGGGTGACGTCGATGGATGAATTTCTTCGTCGATTCTTCTACTCAGTATACCTAAAGAAGCAGCACGTTCACGAAGACAACTATTGCAAGTATAATAACCAAGTTCTTGCTGCATTTACCTCGTCTTTATACATGGCTGGTTTAGTTGCATCTCTGGTAGCATCTCCTATCACAAGGAACTATGGACGTCGTGCAAGTATAATATGCGGTGGCATTAGTTTCTTCATTGGAGCAGTTCTCAATGCCGCTGCTGTCAACCTTGGCATGCTTCTTTCCGGACGAATTATGCTAGGTGTGGGAATTGGATTTGGCAACCAGGTAATTCACCTTGAAATTTAGTTGTCACGTGTTCCTATTCTGTTATCTGTTTACTACAATAAGTACGCCTCAATCCCAAGCAAGTTCAGACCATGTCGGATATATTAAGATATTTGTATAGACCTTCAATAAGCATAGATTTTTATAAAGAACTTTCTTGAATCACACATATATGTCTTGTCGTAAGACTTGGAAATGAATAAGTATGAAACTGGAAAAAGAATTGAATCGCATTGCCTCGTGTTCGAGACAATTTTTAACACTATCATTGTATCTGAGTATGTTATAGCGAGGTTGCATGCCTTTGTTTTCAGCATATTAATATACAATTACTATTAATATAGGTGGTTGGATAGTACGTAAGTTCTTCTATACTGTCAGTGTATATAACTTAAACTCGTAAAAGTTACTCGAAACTTTTTAAAGATAAATGTTTCAACTGTGTCACTTCTTGAAGGCAGTTCCGTTATATTTATCAGAGATGGCACCAGCACACCTAAGAGGATGTCTGAACATGATGTTTCAATTAGCAACAACACTCGGAATCTTCACAGCAAACATGATAAACTATGGAACAAGTAAACTCCATCCATGGGGATGGAGACTTTCGTTAGGCTTAGCAGCAGCACCGGCTTTCGTTATGACAGTTGGAGGCATGCTTCTTCCCGAGACACCGAACAGCTTAATCGAACAAGGAAATAAAACTAAAGGGAGACATGTTTTAGAGAGGATAAGAGGAACCGAGAATGTAGATGCAGAATTCGAAGACATGGTGGATGCAAGTGAATTGGCACGTTCGGTAAAGCATCCGTTTAGAAACATTCTTAAAAGGAGAAACAGGCCTCAGTTAATCATGGCGATTTTGATGCCGACTTTTCAGATACTTACTGGCATTAACATCATACTTTTTTATGCCCCAGTATTGTTTCAGAGTATGGGGTTTAAAAGAGCAGCCTCTCTGTATTCCTCTGCTTTGACTGGTGCAGTTCTTGCTTCATCTACACTTTTATCAATGGCCACTGTCGATAGATGGGGTCGAAGAGTTCTTCTTATTACCGGTGGAATCCAAATGATCATCTGTCAGGTAAAGATTTTCTACTTACTTGGTCAGCCTTTATGCCATCCCGTGTTCTGATTGATAGCCAACATAAAACTCGTCAATTTCTAGCATACATGTCTATATTGTCAATACACTTGTTAGTCATCACTCGTCAGCCTTGTATAGTGATCTATTAGAAGTTACGTGTAATGCATAAACAAACACTCGAACTTAGCCTCAGCTGACAAGTAAGCACTTCAACTTTGTGAGTGCACATCGAGACTCCTCAATAACTAAACACTCCAACTCGTCTATGTCTGGTGGACCTCGGACACTGACGTGGCACATACATGTTATAGGTGTCTGGATGATCATTTTCTAAGTTGGAATGTTCAACTAACGCAATGGAGATGAGTTAAGGTGCGAGGTGTCATAGGTTTACCTATCACCTGAGGCCAAGTTTTGTTACTGTCAGTATATAGAAGTTAAAAATTAATCGGTATATCATATGGAAGATAATATGCTTTCCTTCAGGTTATTGTTGCGATAATCTTGGGACTCAAATTTGGAAGTGACAAGGAGCTATCAAGAGGTTACTCGATTATAGTAGTTGTTTTCATTTGCCTCTTTGTAGCGGCGTTTGGATACTCATGGGGGCCTCTTGGATGGACCGTGCCAAGTGAAATTTTCCCTTTAGAGACGAGATCAGCAGGCCAAAGTATCACAGTTACTGTGAATTTGTTCTTCACATTTGCGATAGCACAGTCTTTCCTCTCACTTTTATGTGCTATGAGGTTCGGGATTTTCCTGTTTTTCTCCTGTTGGATTGCTGTCATGACGATATTCATCTATCTGTTCTTGCCTGAAACGAAGGGAGTTCCGATTGAAGAGATGATGCGTCTTTGGGAAAAGCATTGGTTCTGGAAGAAGATCGTTTCGGAGGATCAACAAGTTAAAAACACCAATGGACTCAACCATGCTTGAGGTAGGTACATTGTTAACAAGGTGAAAGGTGAATAGAGAAGGCTATCTTGTTCATGTAGAATTTTGGTCTTCTATATGTATATGTAAAAGTGTGAACTTTTTACTTTTAAGAATGTCACTTTCTATGAATACACGAGTGAAATGATATTTTGATATGTTATACGTCCCGATCTTTAATTTATGACTATAAGATTTTAAAATTTTCGTTACTTTTTTTTAAAGCTTGTCCTGGGTTCTGTTTAGAAACTATCCACGAAACTTTTGGTGAGTTAAATTTCACTTTTTTTTGTATTTTTTTACAAGACCCTTTGTATTGACCTCATGGAACAATATCTATAGCTTTATCATGATTCATATAATTTTTTTTAGCATTTAGCGGCGATTCTATAGGGAATTAGGCGATTATCTTAGATTTTTTATATGTTTTAGTGCATGAATATTTTGGTACTATGAATTTCAGGCATATTTTTGAGAAAAAACTTTACAGGATCCTGCATAATGACCTCGGGAATAATACGTTTAGTCTCATCATGATCTATGCCTTTTTTTTACAAAAATTATTTAGGACACACTCAGCAGAAATTAGACGATTTATTTTAAATTTTCATGTTGTTTTTGTAATATATATTTCACTCTTTTGCAAATAACTTTCTGAAGGAATAATACATATAGCATCACCATGATTCATATCCTATTTTGTTATGCTACTCAACAAGAATTATTCAATTTTATCGGTATTTTTGTGTGTATTATCCTACATTATTTTTTTTTGTTGATATAGATTTTAATGATTTTTTTTCAAAAACTTTACAAAACCTTTATAACAACGTGTGGAAAAAATACATTAAGCCTAATATGATTCTCACCGCTTTTCAACATTTAGAAGTTACTCAACAAGAATTAGATGATTCTCATTTTTTTTATCTGTATAATAGTATATGAATTTTTTTGTGATATAATTTCAAAAAATACTTTGTTTACAAAAACTTTACAGAACCTTCTGCAATTACTCGGAGAAAAAAAAATCATAGTCTCTACAGGATCTGCACCACTTTATTTTTAGAATTAGATATTTCTTAACAACTAACAAAAAAATCAATTTTTTCAATTTTTCATATGTATTAATTAATCCACAAAAAATTTTAGAATAATTTGACATACTCCATTCAATCCAATTTTTTGTGAAACGAACTAGTAAATGATATTCATTATTTTTATAGACAAACATCACATTAAAAAAATATTATATTTGAAGTCATGAAATAGAAATTTAAAATTACCTAAATTTTTTTTTTAGATTATATCATAATTTTTTAAAGAAAAAGAGTAGTGAGTGATGACTTCATTTGACCTTTTTTTGTTTCGTTTTCGTCCAGTATTTGATATTCACAATATAGTTGATTAAATTTAAATTCACGCTAAAAAATTTCACGTGAAAAAATAAAACGCTCTCTCACAAAATAATAGAAAAATAGAGATTTCACTTCTTTAAACCCCAATTCCCAAATTTGTAAGCAAAATTGCTTGAAGAGAATGGCTAACACTGAATGTACTTCTCCTCCTCCGCCGAGGATCGGTAAGATCGGGCCGTACACGGTTTTCATGACCCCTCCACCCACACCCAAATCCGGTTCTACCGAGCTACCACCACCAATTCAGCCGCAACCGGTTCAGACACCACCGGTTCAGGTGGTCGATAAGTCATGTCCGGTTTGGTCTCCTCCAATGCAGTATGATAAACCCTCTCAGTCTTCTTTTGGGTTTTTCTGGAACGCTGTTGCTAAAGTTCAAAATGGTATCTTTTTTTTTGCCCTATCTTTTTTAAAAAAAGATTGTAACTTTATTCAATTCTAGATTTTCAGATCTTGATTTCATGAACATTGTTCTTTTATTCCAGTTTATGTTAGTGGTTTTTAATTTGTATATGGATTTTTATTAGCTCATGCGAGTTTGGATGAACAAGTGGCATACTGGTTTGGATTGAATCAGTCGAAGTATCAGTGGGCATTAGATGATTACTATGAGAGCAAAAATATTGTAAGTTGTTAAGTTTCTTTCTTGAATTTGTTGAATTTCTTGTTTGGTGTTGTTCGGGTAAGGTTTGGAATCCAGAGGCGGAGTCACTCTATTCCTTACCACTGAGTCGTCAAATCAGTTTTTAGGAGTTCACAAATTAATATGCATATATAGTTATTCAATTAATCTAAAAAAAAGGCGTAGCTCCGCCCCTATGATGGATGTTATAGTTACAAGTTCATGCAATTTCGAAGTGATGCATCTTTTTTCTAGTTAGCACTTTAACTTTACCTCTTACTGTGGTACAGATTATGTTAATCATTGCAACAACAATTGTTTACATATGTGGATCAAGGATATGTTAACTTTAAATTTAGTCTTTGCTAGACTTTTTTCCTACAGTTCCTCTGCAGTTTTGCCTCCATGTCATGTCCTTTCTAGGACCATGTACCCGCAGGTTATGACTTCAGATTTTAGTTTTTTCTTAGGCATAACGAGGAAAAAGAGTCCTAATTAAAACAATGTGGTGGTGCTGTCTTTTGCAGCAACTAATAAGGTTTTATTTAGGATGAAGTCCTTGCTGGTGCTTTCCAGTTACAATCCCCTGCTTGAATCTCTTGAAAGTTGTCATGACTCAATATCTGGTCGAGCCATGACTGGCAGTCTAGCACCCGATGCCTTGACTTTACCAAGAAAACTTTCTTGGCCTTTCTACTCCTTATATTTGAAACACTATGCAACCCATTGTAGTTCTTAAAGAAAACTGAGAATGTAGTATGATATAAATACGGCTCTTTCTTTCTTTTCTGAAACTGTAACACTTTATATAAGAAGTTTACGTAGATGGTTGAGAGGTTCCCCATGTAGTTGTGCAGACTGTTGCTAGCCTACCTATGTTATAGTGACATCCAACATCTGGAGACCACCAACGTTGATCACTCTATTATACTCCTCTTTTCAAGAAGAAAATGGTAGATAATGAAATGTTTGCTTGAGGTTTTACAGGGCCGCGATGAATTACTTGTGCTGTGCATAAATGTGGTGGGCTTCCGATAAACAAACTAAAGGACATATATATGTTTTTGGCCGCTGTATTGTTCACGCACTCTTTAAGTCTTAAAGTTATATAGTTTACTTCATTTGTCTTGAAGTATCTGTGTCAGCCAGTGTGCAATGTGTGTGGATTCTTCAAAATTGGAAAACTTAGCAAAGAGATGCTCGATTTTGTACCTGATACTATCCCATGCACACTTGTAAGCAACTCCGTGAAACATAGCTACGAGATTAATGTGGAATTTGGGTACTACTGTCATAGTAGAGAAAATTGGGGATGGGTAGATAGGAGAGATTGATTGCAGATGCTAATAACTTTCACCAAGAACATAATTAGTGTAAGTTTTACACCAGTGACTGTCTTTGCTAGGAGCTCATACCACTTCCATTTCATGAATGTTTTTCTTCAGCTCTCACAAGGATTGTTTTTGCTTCGAAGTGTTGATTTTATATTTTACTCCAGCACTGAAATTTATTCAAATGGTTAAGATACCACGCCTCTTTGATCTTCATATCCTTTTCTGTTGGGGGCGTGATTTTGGGAAGATAATACTGATTCTTACAGATTTTAGCGGTGGGGGGCTCTTATGGGTCTTTTGTAAAGATAAGATGAAATTATGCTCCTTATGTTGTAGTACCTCCATTTTAGTTTATATGGTCGCGTAAAGAGTTTAAGAATAAAGACTTTTGGCACCTATCAAAGGTAATGTTTGAACTTGTGGTCACAAACATGCCATCAACGGAGACATGTTTTTCTTTTCTTTAGCATTTATTTGGTTTTGTTTATTAAAGGATCTAAGACGCTACTTCCTGACTCATACAAATATTGTAATAGGAAGTGTACATGACATGTTTCTGTTTGCTTTAGCATTTATCGGGTTTTGTTTGATAAAGGATAAAGAACTGCCTCGTTTCCATAGTATTAGAAACTGACGTTTAACTGGTCAGGAACTTTCTACATGAATCATCAACTGTCTGAAAACTTCCTAATGTTTAAATGATGAATACAACATGCTCTAAATTGAGAGCGTGATAGGGAGAGTTCTGTTTTTGGTGTCTGGTTACATTTCCTTCCAATTCTACATTTTTGATTGATTCTCTACACAGAATCACAAATAGTATGTTCAGAACATAACTAAGCAAAGTATTTTTTTTCTTAACATACCTATGAGCAGAGTCTTGAGAGAGTGGTGTGTACGCACCTTACCCCTTACATTGTGAAGGTAGAGAAATTGTTTCTGATAGATCATCGACTCAAGTAAAATATCTTCTCATAACATATGGTATGAGTCTCGTTGGGGTGCCACAATGGCTATCACAAAAAATAAATAATGAAATGTTACTAAAACATCAGGCTGCGATTTGAATCGTATCTGGGCCCATGAAATGCAATACTTATACTTTTCGATGTATTTGGAACGCCTACTTATTGTTAGATCACTTTTAATTGCTCTGTGAGACGTTTGTTTTTTGGCTTTTTTTGTTGCTTACTTAGTAAATGTTTTGTTTCACAGAACAAGGCCGAAGAAAAAGCAAAAGTCGTAGCTAGCAAATTAGAGAATGTATGATATGCCAAAGGCGAAGGTATAAAATCTTGTTAGGATGTGCTATTTGTTTCCTCTTGTTGCTTCTAGTCCTATTCCTGCACGCTATGCCAATATATATGTGTGATTGTCACACATTTTTAGCTGCTATGGTGCAGCAGCTAACAATGTCGCGTTGTATGGTGCAACAGCTAACAATGCTGCTTCTGAAGTTAATTGTTGTTATCTATTACAATATATAATCTATGTACTTTTGTTACTGGTATAAAGTTTCTTGCAGTTGATACATTTTGTTGTTTCTACTCATCATTTTGGTGTCCTATCCAATACTGATGTTATTGCAAGTAATTTGGAGGGAAGTACCCAATGTTAAATCAGTTTTGTTTCCTTTTGATAAATGAATAATTCAAAGACAACAGTGAAGGATATGTAACAGACACATCTACTCATTGCTTGTATAATTTGGTTATGTTACACTAATTCGTTTAAACGTGATTAGAAGCTAAAAACACCTCCCTCCCTCTGCTTAAATTTATTTGTTTACATCAAATTATAAAAACTTATGAATCTAGTGATGTTATATGTAGCATAAACACTAAAAACCTATGTGTAAGCAAAATTGAACAAAGAAGGAACAACGACCAACAAAGAACGTAATTACATTGATAGTATTGTGGCGTTGGTGCTCGATGATGGGATTAATGGAGATGATGAGGAATAGAGTATACAACACCTTCCACCATAAGTGTGGTTTTGTAGTTTTGAGGAGGTATTATTAAATTCACTTTGAAACGAAACGAATTAACGATAAAGGACGAAAAACCTGATATCAATTATAGCTCAACATTCTGTATCATATGACAAACACACACTGCAAATTAAATAGTCACACTTCATAACACTGTGGTATTTAATATCATCACACCAAACAACCACTCAGTCTGTCATTTTGCATCATACCAAATGACATCAAATCAAAAAAAGAAACTCCAGATCGATCCTCTTAGAGGTTGAGTAATCTCACAGGCTATAATAAACAAACTTGGCTAGGCTACACAGTCAAGAGTAGTGTAGCCAACTTACTATAATACTGTTTCATTTTGCTAATAGTGGTGCCTGTGTGCATCTCCGAATAATTTCATGGGATTCCTGGTACCACTCACCGACGTAGACATTATCTTTGATAGATGGAAAGAAATTACTCTGCTAGAATTTAAACTTCATGGATAGACTTCCATAAGGTTAGTTGTTTGACAAGATAAAAACAGATTGTCTCTTGCACCTAATACAAAACCTACATTTGCCATCATGAAGCAGGGTAAAACATGGTTACAAAAAAGTCATATGAACCCTTCATAATACAAAACCTACACAAACGATCATCGCTACAAACCCACACAACTAATCATTCCTAGGAATCAAAGAGGGATGGTTATTGCCACTAGGGCGGGTTTACATGATTCTTATCAACCAAGAAAGCAAACAAGAATTGTGGAAGTATGTTCTCATATCGTCTTTTGAAAGAAGCTGGAGCATATAATTTGTTACAGTTGAAACAGCTGAAAGCTACACTTGAATAACTCGAATCACAAAACATACAACCTAGTACATTCATAAATTAAACATTGACATTTCTACGAGGATCCTGATATATATTGCTCTAGCAGTATAGACAATCTTTCATCAATCTCATGACTGTATGATAGGCTTCTGAATGGAGCAAATAGATGACCTACCACAACGTCACACCCTTAAAAGACTCTACACCACCCATTAAACACCAAAAATTTCCAGATATGCCTTGCAATTTTGTTGAGGGGCTAATATTTTTGGACGAAGCAATGAAATTTCATTCAAGAAGAGGGACACATACCAAAAACTTACAAACTAAAGATACTATTATCCGCAAATCATATACAATAGGAGCTAATTTCAGCAATGGCATATTAAATATTACGAATAACATCCTCTCCTGCACAACAAAGAAAATTCATTTGTGTATCCACGCCGATGCATACAATATAAACCCTATCCAAGCAAACCTCTCTGCCCGAAGATTGGAAGAAAAGGCTACGATTCAATTGAAAAACATCAGTAAACAAACAAGCACTCGTATTATTACATCGTGTCCATACTGAGTTAAAGGATTACATAGTTTAGCAAGTAAAGATTCAACATCCAACATCCGAGGCAACCTATTAGAAGCAACACTAATTTTTTTTTTCTTCACAAGCTTATCTAGGTAGAGTAAATGAGGTAGCTGTACAATGTATGAAGAGCTTCGATAATCAACAATCGATAATCGAAACTCGACTCTAGACAGGAGGTATATTGGAAAAAGAGAAACCTTTATAACCCTTGTAAGCATAGTATGCAATCCTTGTATAGTAGAACCCTGGTATAAACAAAACTCCACCAAGTATAGCAAAAAAAAGCCCTGCATTACAAGCATCTTCTTCAAATAACAATACATACTAAAAAAAAAAACCCTAGAGAGAGAAATCAAAATCAAAATCGAAATCAGATGAGTAAAAAGTGAGCTGAAGAGGATTAAGGAGTTACCATGAGCTGTATCGCCACCGACCTTATTGATTGCCATGAAAATACCTAGAAAAATAGCTAGGGTACCAAATACAAGAAGGGAAACAGCAAGAGCGATCTCTTTGATAGGTCCACGATTGTTATCGGCATGAGAACCTTCCATCATCATATCCTCATCGGAAATTGAGAAAGCATGATCGACGTACGCCATTGAAACAAACACTATTTTCTTTGTAATGCTTGAAGAAGAAGAAGGGTTAGTGGGAAATACCTATTTTCAGCAGAAACAGAGTTTGGCTTAAGAAGAAAGGCGTCTTTTGCGTGTGCCAATAAAACTATTCTAAACCTAAATACGGATACGGTGGTGCGGTATATGAAGTTGTTTCTTTCGAGATATCAAATTTAATTCATAGGTATAAAAAAGTTTTGGATTAGTCGGAATAGGGTGTAAATAGTGTGAATTAAGAATAATCGGATCTTAATATGGATATAAGAAAAAAAAACAAAAACCTAAATCCTTATTTATGGAACCTTTATTCACCTACAACTTTGAACACTAATCCAATTCATTTTAGTCTATTTTTATTCACTTCTTGATTAATTTGGATTTTTGTTTTATTAAACACTTATGGATACATAAATAATTTGGATTTTGTTTTATCCTACACATGGATACATAAATAAAGGGGAAAAGACAAATATACCCTCAAATTTTACGGTTTAGATTTGGTATATATATTTATCATTTTTGTTAGTATTTACTGAATCAAAAAAAAATCAAAAAGGCCATTGCATCAACATGAGTTGTGGTGCAATGATGCGATTACTTCACCGTTAACTAGAGTGATCAAATTCGAGCCCTGGATATGGAGAAAATCTTGTTAGGAGCGTCACCCTCGAATAAACTCTACAATGCGCGATTTGAATTTAGTCAGGAAATACCAAAATAAAAACACAATTTATCCATCCATAGACCATTTCTCAACAAGAGAAGGATAAAAAGCCCCAAAACAAAAGTTGACAATGTGAGACTTACTCATCAAAAAGTTACACTCATATTGCAATTTCAATCACCAAAAACACTTTGCATTCATATTAACTTATTTCCTCTACTTATAATACATTAGAAACTAGACTTCTCCCCATACTCATAGAAACTAAAAATGAATTACATAGCCAAAAATGCTATTGACAACACACTAAAAAATCTTTTCCACCTTCCTAAGATATATACATCTGTGGTGAATGAGTCAACCATGTACTGTTATCGTTCTACCGATCCTCAACTCTGGATCTAAGAAAGGCGGAGGCATTGGTGGTGTAATTAGTGTTCCAGCTTTGGTTACCAACATTGCAACAATCTCAGACATTGGTGGTCTTAAATTGGCATGAGGCTGAAGGCATAAGAAAGCTACATGTATTGTTTGCATTACATCCTTTTCCGCCACCCCATTTTCCAACATCTTTGGATCAACTAGATCGATTAATCTTGATCTTTCATATAGCTTCCATGCCTGTATATACGTACTTGAACAGTCAATGTATAACCATATATCATCATAAACTTAAACGAGAACTTAAAGACAGCTTACATAGTCGGGGAGATACTGCATTTCTGAAGGCAAAGAAAGATCTGTATTCTTCCGAGAATTGATTATTTCTAGCACAACAACACCATAACTGTATATATCAGCCTTTTCTGTCAATTCTCCTCTAAGTGCATATTCAGGAGCGGTGTAACCTCTACCAAAGTCCCGAAAAACAAGAAGTAATTAAAATGATATATGTTGATCTATGTCATTCGTTAAAAGTCTGGTTCACAACACTACTTACAAGGTTCCAGCAAATGCGGTGCTGAGATATGCTTGATCTTCAGGGAAAAACCTAGCTAGGCCAAAATCTCCGATTCTTGGTTGAAATTTGTCATCCAACAGAATATTACTGGCTTTGATGTCCCTATGAACAATCCTAATGTGTGAATCCTCATGAAGATATTGTAATCCCCGCGCAATCCCTAAGATTATCTGGTACCGAGTTTTCCAATCTAGGAATATCTTACTCTTTCCTGTGAAAAAACAAACATAGAGGCCTAAAGAGTGCATAAACAATGGCATTTGTAATTTCTTATATTCAGTCAAAAGAAACATAAATACCATATAGTATTTGGTCCAAGCTCCTATTCTTCATGTATTCGTACACGAGAAGCCTCTGATCCCCTTCTGAACAACAACCAAGAAGGCGGACAAGGTTCTTGTGTTGTATACTTGTTATCATCCGTACCTCAGCAAGAAACTCCCGGTCCCCTTGCTGCGATTTGTCAACAGACAACTTCTTGACAGCAACTAATTGTCCATCTCCTAACTTCCCCTAAGAAAAACACTAGGGCCAATTCTTAACCTCTGCATCTAATTATAAAAACGGATTTTACAACTCGTTAAGACACATTGACCTTACCAGGAAAACCGGACCAAATCCACCACATCCAAGGAGGTTATCCGAGTGAAAATTCTTCGTAGCTTTCTCCAATGTATGAAAGTTAAAGTAGCTTATTGTATGAAGATGTACACTAACAGCATTACTCATCTCTGTATCATCCGAAAAAAGACATATTTTAAAATAACGAATAAGATACTCAAAGTAACATGAATTCGAAACAAAACAAAACCTGGAAGAGGCTTAAATGTGCTAGTAATCAAAGCTGTCAGTTTTCCTGGTTTGAAAAACTTGCATAAGATAAATATGAGAAGTAACAGAACAAGTAGAGTGCCAAGAAAAAAGAACAAGGCGGATAAAGGCTGCATCTCACGTTTCGATATCACTATATACACAAAGTATGAAGAATTTACTAGGTTTATCAAGCTATATTAGTTAACATGAGAGACATATAGGGAGAATCGAAAGCTTCGTAAAATCCAGTGTTGCAATGCCAGCATAAGTTAAAGACAGAAATACTTTGTTTTGGTCTTCACTATGAAGGACGGCAGAATATTGTTCATTCAATAGACAATATCTTTACTTGTATGATATTTTAATCATACCAACTGTTACTTGTAAGAAAAAATCCACATTTTGTGAAGTCAATATCCTTATATTATGATAGACTATCTCAAATTTAAAAGATTATAAATATATCCACGCGGAGAGATTGTATGTACCATGTGGATATGGATGTGGACGTATTATATTAAAGAATAACTAGTTAATACTGTTATTGACTGCATACGAATATTTACAAGAGTCAATTATAAGCCAAGAGTTTTTTTGTGTTTAGATATGGGAAAGCAAGTTCAAATGGAGTTGTATTTAGTTTTGAAGTGTGTGACTATTTCATGTAGAGCTGTTAGAGAGAACACATTTTTATTAGTTAATTATATTTTCAACACGCCCCTCAGCCTGATTCTTTTTCAAGGGCCAAACATGTGTAAATTTTTTGATATGAGTGGTAGTGAGGTTCGATCTCAGAATTTTTGTCTGCTCTAATATCATGTTGATGTTGATGATAAACAATGATCTCATTGATATGTAGAATGGAATTGGCTTGCTTCATGTTTGACAAAATGTCTGAAAGAAATGTGGTTTCTTGGACCGCGTTAATGTGTGGATATCTACAACATGTTGATGATCAAGAATCCTTGTTGCTTCTCTCCCCGTTTGGATTGGAAGTGAGGGGTGCTTACCATCCGAGCAACAGCCTCTGTCAGACAACAGATTCATGAGGTTGTGTGCTAAAAGTGGTTTGAAAAGTAATCATTCGTGGGTAATTCAATTATTGATATGTACTCAAGATGGCGATGCTGAAAAGAAGTTTCATGAAATGCTAGAAAAGAGTGTCATAACTTGGTATGCAATGGGAGGATTTTTTGGCGACAAATCTTTGTTTATGTTCAAACAAATACAACACGGAGAAATGACAGACGAGTTTATGTTTTGCAAGCACATTGAAGCCTAAGAAGAAGCCAAATTCATGGTTTTCTCATTACTAGTGAATCCCTTAATCTAGTCTCTATTGACCCAAACACTGTGGCAACCATATACGGAGCAAAATGCTTGGAAAATTAGCAGCAAGACAATGGATATCGACATAGCAACAGGCAACAACTTCCGAGAAACATAGATGTGTTTCTTCAATCCTCTACGAGCCCTAACGATTAGCCTCTGGTTATAGTACTTGTTGACTTTCTCCATGGCAATCTCCACATTAGAACTTCCGCTAGACCTTACAAATGACCTTTGTATAGTACTGAACAAAGTGGAAATTTCATTATCAGTCAAATCCCCTTTGACAACACCAGCTTGCCTAAGCAACTTCACATCCTTAGTAGTATCTGCAATTCCACTCATAAGATTGATGTATCTAGCAAATTCGAGCTTGGATTTCGACATGGCAGCTTCATAGACCATCAAGTTTCTAATTATGACTTCTGAGCCAGCATTCATTGTGATCACAGGAAGGTACAAAGTCGAAGAAGCTTGTTCGAACTTAATCCTACTGAGACCCTCATGAATGGGGCTGCATTTGACTCTGGCATAACACCATAAGCAGGATGCTGAAGGGATAGTACTGGTATTGTCTCTTTCTTCGTCTCCATTTATTTCCATACCTTTCCTAAATAGCCCGGAAATCATTGACCATGGGACGTTTTCCACGACCTGGTTAATAGATTTTAGAAGCTTTTGCACGTTTCTTGGGCCTATAGGCTCGAACACCTCCAAGACTGTTTCAAAGTTGTGAATGATGTCTTCATGTGTATCTTGATAAACATTTTCTTCATCTTTATCATCATGTTTGATAACGATAGATGACATTTGAATCGGAATTGAAACAAAATCTACATGATCATCGAGGATTAAATGATACATAAGATCAAGCAAATGAAGAGGCCGAGTTTCTTTAGCATTATTTCTAGGCAAAGGAAGTGGGGAATGCATTTCACAGAAGCGTCTAAACATGGAAACTAACTCGGTGTCTTCTCTGTCTTCAGGGGATGAGAAACAGAGGAACTTTCTAATTTGCTTCACAGCGACAAAGGGGATTTGGTTTTCAAGCATCATAAAGTCTCGAGTGAAAACATTGTCATCAATACTATCATCATGAACATTATTCCCATATGATGAACGGAGGATGTTAAGCAAGAATAGACCATCTATGGCTACTATCCAAGCTAATGTCTCCTCATCTATGTCCATGAACCGGTTATAACAAGCACGTATAACAAGGTCATTATCTCTAAGTTTATCGATCAAGAGATGCTCAAAATTGAGGATTTGAACAGGCTGAAGAATGTGTTTGAGGGCAGCAAGTTTGTACCTTTCCATTTGATATAAGTCTGGCCTTAAATGGTGATAAGGTCCCATACCGATGAGCTGAGGAGTATACGCTTCTGGTTTGTGATGAGTTAGTGTTTTCGGAATGTGGAGGACACAGACAGGAGGGAGAAGATTGACGTCTACAACGACATCTTTCTTAAGCGCGTTACTTATGCGGTCTGTCCATCTTCTTGCACTTGAATTTGAAGGAACAATTGGATCCAATGCCATGTTTTCTCTTCTCTAATTTTGTTTGCAAATTGTTCATGCATGCATATATTCATACTATGATGTATTTATAAATGGTGTATATATTCATTCTATCATGTTTTCTTTATGAGTTTTGAATAGTATTATTATATGTTTTGGAGACTAGTTTTATTAAAATTAATTAGTGGAGGCACATGGAGTTTCTTGCTTGCTTCCTTGTTTTTGGTATGAGTCAAGGCAAGGTATTGCTCGAATTTTTCAAAAATACGACAGACAGAAGATGCATATCAATTTTTTCAAAAAAACGTATATCAGTAAATATAAAAGATTCGATTTAATACGGATCAGACAACATTTTTCGGAGAGTCTAGCATACAAACATAGAGGTGAGGGTCATGTTTAATTAGGCTAGAAATAGTAGTAATCTATATTATAACCTTAGATTATGCCAATGGATTATCATTGTCATGTTCAAATGGGAAAAAATTGGTCAAATAGTTTATGTTTTACCACAACTTGATAAAACAAAATTGTTGCTTGTTTGGGAATTAAATGTTGTTTAATATGGTCAATAATTATCTTCTACACAAAATTAGTAATATTAATCTAATGTTATTTGACATTTCAAATACTCCACATGGGATAATTACTTAAGTTATGGTAATAAATAAAATCAACCCTTTATCTTGTTTAGATGGTTGTTATAGGGTAATATTGCTAGTTTAGATACAAAAAAATTTATTATATCATACTATTTAAATTTATTATTCGATAATGATGAAAGACTCATTTATGTAACGATGGATTTGATGTTATTAATGTTGTTATTTTACTATTTTTTTCTCATTTTATTTTTATTTATTATTTGATAATCACATTTGATCTTTTATTTTGTATTTTTATAGTAACTCTATCCCGTATCCTTTTTTTCTTGTAAATTTATCATTCAAAATTCTAAATGTGTAACATTATGTAATAAAGGAGAACGATACAATCTATTTTAACATTATATTTATTAAAACAATATACTAATACAATATAATACGATACGATACAATACATTAAATAACCATCCAATCAAAAGTTAAAAGATATCCTACCTGAGTAATTTGATTTGAGAATAGAAATGGTTGTGGGAAAATTATATTGGTAGATAAACAATTACTTCTCTCTCCCTTGGCTTTTAATTATTATATTATATTTTTCGAAAGTTAATTTAATTAATTTTTAAAATTAAATTAATTTACATCAATTCGATATTTTTAAACAAAATATTAAATATTCAAAAAATATATAAAAAATACTATAAATTTCAATTATTACATATTAATATTGTGAAAAAAATATAAAATATAAAATATTAATCAAATTTATTATCATTTGATTTTTAAAAATAAAAATGGTGATAATTAAAAGTTGACGGAGGTAATATAATTTTGAATTTATATATAGTAAGTTGACTTACTACTATTTACCAAAAAAAAAAAGGTTTGTGTTGAGAGATTATAGGAATTCATGGCTACAAAATCAGTCATAATGGCTTCTTTGTTCTTCTTCATATGGCACGTTATACTTGTATTTTCCTTGTATTTTTCTTCTTTGTTTCAACTATCTTCTTTTTCAGTAGAAAAATTGTTCAACCTACTCAAATACTCTCTGTTTACAGAGAAACCCTTTCTCAAACCCCTATATTCTTGCAAAATCAGACCCCCATTTTGCCAAAATCTAGTCTTGATGATAGTTTGGTTGAACCCATTTCACTAAACACTTCTACAGAGATACCCATTTTGTCAAAATCTGATTTTGATGGTAGTTTGGTTGAATCAGAGACCATTTCTAGTTCTAATGAAACATCAAGATTTCAAGCTAATACAGAGATACCCATTTTGTCAAAATCTGATTTTGATGGTAGTTTGGTTGAATCAGAGACTATCTCTAGTTCTAATGAAACATCAAGATTTCAAGAATTAGAGGTTAATACACAGATGCCCATTTTGTCAAAAACTGATTTTGATGATAATTTGGTTAAACCCAATTCACCTGAGACTAGTTCTAGTTCTAGTGAGAAGTCAAAATTTGATCTTGATGTAACATCAGAAACACCCAAATCTAGTTTAGTTGAGAAAAACTCAAGACCTATTGGAGAAAGTTGTGATCTTTTTAAGGGAAGATGGGTTAAAGATGAGAATCATCCAATTTATAAGCCAGGGTCTTGCCCTTATGTGGATGAGGCTTTTGATTGTCAGACTAATGGTAGGCCAGACTCACAGTATCTTAAATGGAGATGGAAGCCATTTGGATGTCATCTTCCAAGGTAACTTAAATTACTCATTTTTCTTTGTAAAAATGATGATTTTTGAAGTTATTTTGTAGTTATATGTCCTTTGTTGAGCTGTCAGCTTCTGTCAAACTACATGAGTTGGACATTCAAACAAGAACTAGTAACCAATATTGATTTCCTACATTGTGATTGTGATTATATATTTGGGCGTTTTCGATCATAGCTCTGTGTTCGAGTAAGGTAAACAGTTCTAATGGAGAGTGAATTGCAATGTAATCATTCAAACAGAATTCTTTTGTCTTATTATGTGGCTGTTTGTTGATGAACGATTTGCGATTCTTGAAAGAAAGAGATGGTTGAGGTCTATGGTTAAAGGAAGATTTTCAACTCTGAAGAAAGAGATGGTTTTGTAGTCCAAGTTTGCAAGTTCTGTTTGTGCCGTTATGATAAGAAATCGTAGAATGGTCTGTCTTTTTACCATTCTAGTAGAAATCGTATTGGAACCGACTACTGGAAGTGTGTCTGATATGTAGAGGATAATGCAAATTGAAGGTAATGTCTGCAATTGTTCAATTGGAAGATAATAAATGCAAATGTGCTACCAGACATGACTTTAGATAGGATTGAGTGGAGGTCGCGTGTTAGGGTAGAAGGTTAGTAGGGGTAGAGTATTGTCTTGCCTTGAGAAAGTTTAGGCTTGTTAGTGCCTAGTGTAGTACTAGTCATATCCTTGTAGTTCTTGCCACACGTATATTATTGTATGTCAATTATCATGCTATTTATATTTCTCTCTTGTAGACGTTACACTGCTTTCCTTACAAACTGCTATTGCTTTCTTCATTGTCTTCTTCTATTTTTACTTGGGTTGATGCACTCGAGGCGAGGGTCTTTCGGAAACAACCTCTAAGGTCTGCGTACACTCTAGCCTCCGTAGACACCACTTAGTGAGAATTCACTGGGTATGTTGTTGTTAGTACAGAAAAAACCTGCTACTATAAATATATTAACTGTTAAGATAAGGAGTTAGTAATTGTTGTAGGTTTTTGGCTAGTAATGAATAGTATCTACACTAAAGATTTGGTTGACTATTTCCCAAGGATGTACTCATGTTTATGTTTTGTGTTGCTGATGCTATATTAATTCTGTTTTTGCAATAATCTTCTTCTCTTCATGTTGTTAGACTAAATAATAGTTATAGTTAAAAATACTAAGCGTGGAGTTCGACTTAGTGAAAGTTTTGAGTCAAATGGTGTGCTCTAGATTTCAACTGATTCATACGATGATAAAACTTATTCATCTCGTCGATAAATAGCCATTCATTTGTTGATTCAGGGGACTACTTATAGAACTTGTATCCTTAAACCAGTTATAATTCTTTTGTAGGTTTAGTCCATCAGATTTTTTGTACAGATTGAAAGGAAAGAGGCTGATGCTGGTTGGGGACTCAATGAACCGGAACCAGTTTGAATCTCTCCTTTGCCTTCTTCGTGAAGGCCTCACTAATAAGAGTAAAATGTACGAGATCCATGGGTATAAGATAACAAAAGGAAGAGGCTATTATGTTTTCAAATTTGAGGTGATTTTGCATATGCATTTATTAAGATTATAGCTAAACTGAAATCATTTATATCAATGATGAAATGTTGCGAAAGCTTCTTAGTAAAGAGAGCAGTGAGGACTAAAATATTATAGTTTTGCAGGATTATAACTGCACTGTTGAGTTTGTGCGCTCGCACTTCCTTGTTAGAGAAGGAGTACGTATCAATCCTCAAGGAAGCTCAAATCCAACTCTATCAATAGATCGCATCGACAAAACATCTAATCGTTGGAAGGGAGCTGACATTCTAATCTTCAATACGGGGCATTGGTGGACTCATGGGAAGACTGCCAGGGGGTGTGTTTTATTCTTCTTACAATTACCTTTCATTAAATGCAACATATATGCTATCATTGCCATTAGTATCTTTTCTTACTGAGGTTATCTTTTACGAGCTGGGAGATCATTTGACTTATCGTTCTATAGTAATCTGAGAGCATTATAGCGTATTTCAAGGCTGAAATCCTAACAACTAAGATGAGGTTTTCGTTGGTGCAGGAAAAATTACTATAAAGAAGGTGACCTAATATACCCTAAATTTGATGCCGTTGAAGCTTATAGGAGAGCATTGAAAACCTGGGCTAAGTGGATTGAAGAAAACATGAGCCGTGAAAAGTTGATTATATATCGTGGGTATTCTTCAGCTCACTATAGGTACTTACTGTTGCTTCCACAATAGAATCTTTTGAAACCAAAATGCTAACGTTTGTCCAATGAAAAGCTCGGCTCATTCACTCATCAAGATCGACCTTAAATAGCCTTTCCATTTGGTTGCATCATGTATGATGTACAAACTTGTGTAACGTTTACTTGTATTTAAACAGAGGCGGAGACTGGGATTCAGGTGGAAGTTGTAACAAAGAGAGTGAACCTGTTTCGAAAGGTGCTATCCTTGGAAACTATCCGATGAAAATGAAGATTGTGGAGGAGGTGATTAAGGAAATGCAGTTCCCAGTAGTCCTTTTAAACGTAACACAGTCAACCAATTTCCGCAAGGATGGTCACCCGTCTGTGTATGGTAAGGTTGGTAAAAAGGGTAAGCAAGATTGTAGCCATTGGTGTCTACCGGGAGTCCCCGATGCATGGAATGAGCTAATCTATGCCACTTTGGTGTTGCAACAATGAGCTGAGGCTGTTTGTGCAGCAAATGTATCATTGGCTTGTAACATTGTAATATGAGATGAATATTAGTTAAGTCATTTTTTAGTGAAGTTGCATTGTTTCAGTTTTTTTGTGCTAATATTAGACACTATATATTCTTATTTCTAGGATCAACTCACTTCAAAGTTTTGTAATACCAAACTTATGCTGCTTCACTAAGCAATGTTATCTTCTTTTTTTTCTAAGAGAAGTATTCGGAATACTCTAAATTTGTTGTGAATTATCAGTTTCATTTCAGAATTATTGATCGTCTTAAAAATATACCTCTAGTCTGGCCAATTATGGATAAAATACAATTCTAAATTCTCGTCAAGTTTAGAGGTATTTTCAATACTTCTCTCGATTTTTAATTCAGAGAAGTATTGAGAAAATTTCTAAACTATGCGTGAATTATTAAATTTTCAAACAATTGACAAGTTTAAAAACATCTTTTTACTTGACTAATTGATTTAAATACATCTCTGATCTTGCAACATGAGTGAAATACACCTCTAAATTCTCGTCAAGTTTAGGAATATTTTCAATACTTCTCTCCCCTTTTTATCAGGAGTCTCATGCCCTTACAAAGAACACTTTCAGACCACTTGTTATGTAATGTGATAGATTAAACGTGATTAATGGTATGTCTAAGTTAGCTAGTCAAATTAGAGAGGTATTTTGAAGACTCTCAATAATTTGGAGACGAAACTAATAATTTGTGTCAAGTTTAAGGATGTTTTTAACCGTTCTCCTTTTTTTATTAGAGCTCCTCGTTCCTACAAGATTTAGAGACTACTTGTTATGTTATGTGACATATTGAAAATTTATTTAAATTGAATTAGTCAATTAAAAAAATAATTTAAAACTATCAATAAATCAGATGAAATTAAAAATTCTAAATTCAGAATCGTAATCAATTATAGAAAGTAGGATCTACTTGACCTAATCTCTTAATCACGTTGGAGTGGGACCTATTCCTTCAATCCAGCTTATATGACTTATTTTGTCTTTTTTCTTCCTCCGAAAAAGGATATATTTTTATATTAAACTATAATTTTCATTTTAAAATATCTATTTTAAATGACAAGTTTTAAAAATCTTAACTTTCATATTTAAATAAACTAACTCGTATAAAATAATACCGACAGGATAATACTAATGATTAACTTCAAATCTAAACGGCTCTATCTTATATTATTACTTCCAAATTCCAAATAATGATGTTCAGCTGTCGGTGCATGCCCGTGATTTTCTCCGACAATACTATACGCTTTGTCACTTGTACCTAAATCTTTTAACTCAAATCACTCCGTTTAACCCGACAAAACCCTCTTTCCTTAAAAAAAAATCAGTACTAATTACTCATTAATCTTTGAGATTTGCATTTACTTTCATTTATTTTGAGTGAATGGTAGCTAGTTGATACAGAAATTAGTTGGATTGAGAGAAAAAAATGATGGGTTTTTTGATGAGAAAAGATGTGAGGAAGCTACTCAAGAGGAAGGATAGTGATGCTGGTGAAAAAGGTACTTAATTGCTTCAAGATTTAGTTTTTTTCCCTTTTTTTCTTTGTGGGGTTTTGGTAAAATGTGTAAAGGTGTAATCTTTTTTTTTGCATTATGTTATTGAGGGATTTGGTTGTTATTGGGTAATTGGATGTTTCTATGGATTCTTGGTGTTTAAAGTCTTGCCATTTCTGTTAATCTTTCTGTTGTTACTAGCTGTTGTTTTGATTCATTACCAACTTATTAATCTAGAAATTTTAGGAATTGGGAGGAGAAATTTGTAATGCTTCATATGTTTAGCTCAATAATGGTGTGGCTCAGTACTCAATGAGGTGGTTAGGAATCTTGAGGTCTCTGGTTTAAAACTCAATGGAGAGATAACAAACACTAGGTGATTCTGTTGCCGGTGGAGGTGACATGTATCTCATGGAATTAGTCTAGGTAGGTGGCACATATCCCGTGGAATTAGTCTAGGATAGAGTTACTTGAGAGGTGTGTATCTCGTGGAATAGTCTAGGACAGAGTTACCTGAGAGGCGGCATGTATATCCCGTCGAATTAGTCTAGGACAGAGTTACCTGGGAGGTGATGTGTATCTCGTGGAATTAGTCTTGGACAGAGTTATGTGGTTTATGTTGCTGGTGGGAGGTGGTGGCAGTATCTCGTGGAATTAGTGGAGGTGCGAGAAAGCTGTCCATATGTTAGCAACCAATTGTGATATATGTTTGCAATTGACTATATTCCATAACTTCACCTTTGCTCCTGTCAAGTCACTGTATTCACAAATTCTTCGATTGAGCTAACTATACTAATACTTATCGATGGTTTTCCTCTGCACTTAAAAGGCCAAACTTTATCAAATACGTAAGCTCTTTCTACGAGATGTTTGATGTTCATGGTCTAGTAGTAGTCTATTGTTCAACATTCCGGAAGGTATCGGGAAGGATTTGGAATGGAATAATAATGATTCATACGGAAGAAAAGATTTCCTATGTTCCTTTTGTTGGTGCAGGAAGAGCATTGGAGGAGGCACGAGCGTCCTTGTTTAGCAAATTACGAGCATTTGGAGGTGGGAAGCGCCAACAAACTACCTTATGGGGGCCTACTGTTGCATTGACATTCAATTTTTTTGTTTCTGTTAGTATTATCTTGATGAACAAATTGGTCAGTCTACTTAACCTTACTCTATCTGAAAGTAGATATTAAATCTTTTAGAGATCGTAACATTTGCTTTCCTCTTTTCTCTTCCAGGTTCTTGTTACAGTCGGATTTAACTATCCAATTTTCCTCTCTTTCCTGCATTATGTCTGTAGCTGGTTGATAATGGCTATTCTTAATGCTCTCTCCATCCTTTCCTTGTCTACACCATCAAAATCGACAAAATATTCATCGTTGTTGTCTCTTGGTATAGTTATGTCACTTTCTACTGGGCTTGCAAATGTGAGCTTGAAGTATAATAGGTGAGACTTATGGTAATCTTTTCTCCTCTGAAATCTTAACAGGTCTTCTTTCTTGATAGTTAACAAGCACGATATATTTCCAGTGTAGGATTTTACCAGATGGCAAAGATTGCAGTAACACCAGCTATCGTTTTAGCTGAATTTGTTCTCTTTCGGAAGAAAATTTCTTTCCTAAAGGTAACTGCTTCTTACTGCTAATATACAGTGTATGCTGGTAGCCTAGTTGAGAGCTAGGTTTAGTTTCTTTATGCATTGTGTTTCGTTTCCATATGCCGTTAGAATTCTCGGGAAAGTTTCCTACCTTGTACTTTGAGTATGTGTGAGTATGCCTTTTATGATAACCGATTACTATGGTCAGTTTATTCAACACAATGATTTCCGTTTGGTCCGTCTGCATCTCCCTTGATAAGAATATTGATCCGTACCCTTATGTTTCAGGTGCTTGCACTCACTGTTGTATCAGTAGGTGTTGCTGTTGCTACGGTAACAGATTTGCAGTTTCATTTCTTCGGTGCTTGCATTGCAGTAGCATGGATAGTACCAAGTGCAGTTAATAAAATACTATGGTCCAATCTCCAGCAGCAGGAGAATTGGACTGCCCTGGCGTATGCTCCAAATCGAATCTCCTTCTGTTAATTTTTTATCAGTTCTTTGTATTATCGTTCCTCAAATTTGCATTTCTGGTTGACAGGCTGATGTGGAAAACCACACCGATTACATTATTCTTTCTGGTGGTGTTGATGCCATATCTTGATCCTCCCGGTGTCCTTTCATTTAGTTGGAACTTTTACAACTCGACAATCATTGGTGCCTCGGCTATTCTTGGTTTCTTGCTTCAGTGGTCAGGTGCTCTCGCACTTGGGTATGCATTGCTTAGTACATCATTTGGAAATCGCAAAGTTCTTTATTATTTATGCTTCTAATTATGTTTTCGTCTATTTAGGGCAACATCTGCAACAACTCATGTGGTACTCGGCCAATTTAAAACGTGTGTCATTCTACTCGGAGGTTTTCTCATCTTTGGTTCAAATCCGGGTCCAATTAGCATACTAGGAGCCATTACGGCTCTTGTTGGTATGTCTTTCTACACTTACCTTAACTTGCAGCCCTCGTCTTCTAAACAATCTCTATCGAAATCAAAGCTAGGCAAAGAAAATGCGGATGGAAGTCATGCTGACGAATCTGTGTAGTGGAACTCTGGACTAACAGAGTAAGTTTTGTGAACGAACGAACAATTCACTAACCACGTATGACATTATTTGTCCAAAGCTTATCGCCACCCTGTATTTGGGAACGAATGATAGCTAACATGAATCGTTTTATAAAGTTACGTTGTATATGCAAGTACAATGACTTTTGCTATACGTAATGCTTGTCAAGGGGACGATTGGATTCGTCTTCTTGAACGACTAGCTAGAATGGCGAGACCGAAAAAGAAACAGAAGAGAAGAATGGAGTTCAAGTCACTATTAACTATTAAGCATTCTTTGTACTGCTATGTTATACTATGTATGAGTATGGAGTCAATTATCTCTCAATGAAATGTGTATCCTTATTTTCTGAGATTTTGTTGCTGTTTGTGTGGCAAGTGTGAGATTGAACTTCTTTTGTCTATCATATCCCCAACGTGTGCGATTCGGATTTAGTCGGACTTATTTAAATAACTATGTACAATCTTAATTAAATCCTCCTTTTATTTAGGGCTGCATAATGGTCGTTTTGGTTCAGTTTTAAAATTTATTGATTCGACTTATCGGTTATCGATTTGTAGACATATTAAAATATATTGGCGTATTGATTATCGATTTATGTGTTTAATTGACGTATTGATTATTGGTTTAATCATCAAGATTTGACACAAAAAAAACATCGTGGTGACAAATCAACTAAATCATGTGAGATTGCCATGATTAAAAATATGAAACAACATTTTAAGGTAGGACTTTATTTACCAATGTGTGAATTCATAATTTTGATTTAAATTTATTTCAGAACGTAAAATGATAGTGAAAAATAAAAATGAAGAGAGGGGAGTAATTAATGTGCCAATAATACAATTTCCCACACTAAATTTTTTTGGAAATTGTTATACGAAAAATGCAAAATATGTATAGAGTCAAACGTAACGGTTATCCCCATTTCCACCACTATATATATCATATCTTGGATATCGTAAAAATAACTAATATGGCACAAGTATTATCGAAATTTCATAGACATATCATAATTTAACGTTCAATTATTTCTAAATTCATATATATTTTTA